TCTAGATCTAAACACCACATGGATTCAAATCTAAATGGTTTAGGACCACAAGATGACATGGAATTTGTATTAAGAGGAGGTGTGATCAGAAGCTAAGAAAGGAAGATTGGTGAGGCAAGCATAAGGAAACATCTCCCTCAAGCCTCATTTACAAGAGCCCAATCTAAACACTCCCATGTGGTCTTATTCTTCCATGTAAATTGCAGGCCTTTCATCTCTAAATCCATGAGATTATAGTCATCAATTACATCATTAAAACTTCGAGTTTGACTATTTCGAACTTCCCTACCTCCACTCTTATTCTTTTTTCCTAAAAGAATTAAAATCACCAATTACACAATATTGATTGAAATTTTAATCAATCCCACACATTTCTTTGATCAACTTTACTTGGAGGCACATAAATAAAGGTATAAAAGCAAGAGTTGTTTGAATCAGTCTTAGAAACAAAAGCATGGATCATTCTTTCATTAGAAAATATTACTTGAAGGTTACATAAGTTTTTGTTCCCAAAAAGCCACAGACCTCCTGAAAATCCTACAGAATCAACAAGAAAAAATTCATCACAAAGGAAAGATTTAGCAAATTCTATTTGACCACTCTGGGTTTGATCTAGTCTTCATCAAAAAAATACACTAGGTTTATGCATTCTACTAAGTTCCTTGACATGCCTTTGTAGGGATAGTCTCCCTGCCCCTCTCACATTCCAACTAAAGACCCTCATCACCAACCGCTTTGTAAACCAGACCTATGTTGTCCATTTCCAATAAGGCAATTTCCCTATCGACATTTATTCCTTGTTGCACTTCATTATCAATACCTTCACTGATCAGCATATCAGTTCCCAGGTCCGCAGGGTTGTCATCAGTTTCACGGTATTGAAAGTCATTCCAATCCATCTCCATACTCACTCCTTCGTCTTCATCTTCCTCTTAAATTATGATCAACATTGTCATAATGAGACATTCTGAAACAAAACCGGCGGTTCACTATGGTCACTAATACATTGCTCCCTTATCTTCTTAGGAATCCATTGTTTACTTGGATGGATATTAGCAGCTGGTTCAATAGTGGCGTGACTGGCATTGACAAACTAGGCTTTCTGCGACTCAAACTTGTTGGGGGTGTATTTGGATTTCCATGACATCCAGGCGCTCCTCTTATTCAGCCCTGACATTACTTTTGTTTGATCAAACTGTTTGAATAATTGAGCTCTAATGCCATGAGAAGCACTTTTGCAACCAAGTTGGTTCCTCCTTCAATTCACAGTGGTCCACCCATCATTCCTAGAAGTCTGGTAGTTTTTTGTGCATTTTGGAGCCTTGTGCCCCTCCACCCGCAGTTGATACACAAATCAAACAAGTTCTCATAAAAGACCTTCACTTTATTATCCTCGCCTTCATCATTCTTAACAGGTGTTAATGGTATCTCAAGAATAAAAGGATTAGATAAGTTTATTATAATACATACTATTGGGAAAACAATAGAGGTTAATTTAATGGTATCATCATCGAGTTTGATCACCTTACCAACATCTCTAAGAATGACTTGAAGCTCATCCTACTTTTTTCTCTCAGGGAAGAACTATTATTAATACCCGACAACTTATCCAATTTCCCAACAAGTTTTTGTTCCTCATGAAGCATTTCAACACGTATTTCATGATTTGTCATGATTGCACTTCTCAAGTAATCACGTAAGGGGGAGAGCCTTCCATGTATTCCAGTAAAGTTTCATTTTGAATTTTTTTTCTTAGAATCGGTTGTAAGCTCTGATGCAATTACAATCTAGTTTTTACATATCTTGATCCTTTTGCTGAGAAACAGATGCCAAGACAATAATTCATTATGCTTTGACGCCTGACCTACCACTTTCTCAAGCCATTTCGAAGATTAAAGAAATTACAAGGTCCTCTGTAAATGCAACTTTTCTATTTTTCATCAGTTGTAAGTTTAATAGTTTCTTTGAGATTACAAGAGTTCCTTTCGTTCCAATATGAAGTTCTCCTAGCCTACTTTCAGGTGTCAGTTTAACAATGTCTTCATCAATCAGAGAGATTTTTTTTTTTTTAAATTAACTAGATGTGCATCACCTACCCTGTTTGGTTCTGCAACCACATTACTAGTTTTATTCAGATGTAATGTCCTCTTCTGGGAACCACTTAGAGTTTTGGAGGAACTCAACATGTTTCTCACCACTGTCCCCTGCTTCACTTCATATTCCCTAGAGTTCCTTCTTAGAAATCTTTTCACTATTTTTGGGTAGTCTTTCTTCCTATGCTTTCTGGATAACTTATGAGAGGACTCCTTTGGATGGCTTCTTTCCATCATTTTATTATCATTGAAAACCACCTCCTCACCGTGCTCAAGAAAAATGGAATTTCTTTTCATCGACTCTATATTACTAGCCTTGGTACCACAAGCATCTACCCTAGCCTCTAAAAGTTTATGCAACCTGTGTTGGATTTTAGTCTCAGTAGAGATTAAATCGAATGGGGTTTGATTGATCAATTACATGAAGAAACACACCTGCACACATATCTTGAAAAAGAATGTTTTCTCTTATTAAAATCAGTTTTCGACTTGTCCCACATTGGAAAATTACTAATCTTGTTTTAAGTTTTTAAATAGGAGCTTATTTACACTCCTTAGAAATATAAAGAGTAGAGTATGGAGGTTTGCTAATGCGCATCATGCGCGCACACGTGGTGAACGCGTGTGTGCGACGCAATGAGATGCTTTAGAGGTGCAACGATCACAATCCGATCGGGTGTGATCAAGAGGCATTATTCAAAGTTAACAATCATTAACTATTAACTACCTTTTTAATATTCATAATGTTTGAAATTGTGATTGTTCAAAGAGCCTTTTTTCTGAACTAACACCTTCATCTTCTCCATGACTCTTCAAAAACTATTTAAGGAATGTGAGTCAGGCAATTGAACACAAGTTTTCGAAAATCACTCTTGTCTCTCTCGGTTCGATTTGCTACTGTGTCATAGAAGGTTTCTTTGGAGACTTCAACTTTACAGGTTACAAATTCTCGCCCAAGGCTCTGTTGTATCCTAGGAACGAATTTGCTTATCCCATCAACAAACTCACTAAAACTGAGTGGGGGCAAATAACATTCTAAAGACAATGTCTTCAGACATGCCTCAAAGCACTTTTCTTCCAAGTTTCTGTGACCCCATTTTTTCCAACAACATGTTCCTGTGTTTCTTCTTATTTCCTTTAACTCCCATGCTCCAAGAATAAATACTCCAACCTGCAATCAAAACACTGAGTACTAACCAGAAGGTGCTAGAAAAGGAAATCATTAATAGAAAGAAGTAAAATAACAAGGACTTGAAAAGGATCCGATGCAGAAAAACGAAAACAAATTATCTAACAAACAACAAAAACAGGAAAGGAAAAAGCTTAAGGCAGAAAACCATGTTAAGAAAGTCCACATCTAAACAGAGAATAAAAAAAGAAGAAGAGGATGAGCAATGACAACTTCCCTAATTCGCATCTTCACCTCAGAGGACCCATCGCTGAAGCATATTCTAGAGGAGATTGGGACTGGTGGTCCAGCTGCAATGATGAAGTAGTGGAATGATCCTGTTGCATGACAAAAATTGTGCCAAGCTATGGGTCTTGCAATTCCTGGAGAAGTTGCTACTTCAACTGATCTTTTTGGACCAAATGGAGAAGAGGAGGTTGGAAAAGAGGATGAGTCGAGTGTGCATCATACTGCTAGCATCGATGGTTTTGAGGGATTTAATAATGTGGTGTTGCTCTATTCAAATGGCCCCTATGGGCAGGATCTCTACTACCCACAAATTGTCCTCACATCCATACCTACAATTGGGAACATTTTCCATAAATGACAAGGGAGATATTTCCCATGTGTAGTTGTAATTAGGTAGCAGATCCAATCCCCCCTTCAGATGGCCCAGCTTTGCAAAATTGTTTAGTCATGTGGGTATATCATTGGATTCCTCGGCCTGGTTAAGTTAACCTAAGTTTAAATAACAATATTCAGTTTTACGGAGAAAAAAAAAACTTAGGATTTGGTTTGATAAAAATGATGGAAATCGACAAGAATTGCAATTTAGAGGGTGTTTGGAACCGTGGGCATTTATTAAATAAACGCTGCCACATAGGTGCCACTTCAGCGTTTCCCCCATTATGTGAACCCGTATGCATAGGGACTTGTAAAAGTAGGCTTCCGTTTATGTGCATTCCTACTATTTGGGAGAAGCTTCATTTTAGTGCTTCTCCCAACGGGTAGGCACTTATTCACTATTTTGCTGATGTAGTGCCTAATGACGCCTAACTATAATAAACGAGTTTATTATTGCTTTTCTCGATTTTTCAAATAAATCAAGTACAAAATGTTTAATAAATAAACGTCCATGGTTCCAAACACATACTAGGTATATGTTTGGCATCAATGCTACAGATGCAGATGTTGCTGATGTGTGGGTTGGAAGCCTTTTTTTGTTTGGAACTGTTGCTGCCAAGTAGAACGTTTCTTGGAGCAACAATAACTTTTTTTTCTGTTTGGTACCAATGCTCTAGGAAACGTTTTCTACACTACTACCCATTATCCAGTGCCACATCACTGCCCTATTGGCAGCAACAAGCTGCAGCTCCAGGAAACGCCAAATTTAGCGTTGCCCCAAGCCATACCTTCCCAATTTCCAAGGCGTGGCTTGAAGCACCGTTTTCTATAAAAAACGGTTCCAAACAAATGACTGCTTCCTGAAGCACCGTTTTTTTCCTATGTGGCGCCGTTGCTTCAGGAAACGGCAACGATGCCAAACAGCCGCTAGAAGAATCTTAAATCGAGCCAAACCGTTTTTAATTCAGCCGAACCAAACCAAAATTTAAGTTTGGTTCCGTTCGATTTGGCGGTCTGAACTGTAAAATGAACACCTGCCAGGCACGCACCACCACACGCTTTTCGCATGTTCACAAAACGAAGGGCAATTGGACCCAGCCCGGCTGCTATATAAAATTTTGCGAGAGCGACACTCAGAGATCCAAAAACCCTACTTTTCTCTGGTTCGAAGTTCGAACTTAGAGTTCAGACCCTTTGTTTTCTCCCGGAGAGAAGATGCCTCCGAAACGCTCATCACTTCTTGACAACCCACCGGATGCCTCCTCCTCGTCTGAAGATGTAGAAGAAGAAGAAGAACCGGAAGAAGCTGAAGAAGAAGAAGCAGAAGAGGACGAAGAAGAAGATGAACACGAACAAGTTTCCGCCAAGAGATCCTCTGCCAAGAACCCGACCATTAAATCCACGCCCACTTCAAATGCTGTGTCGGGTCGTCAAGCCCACCGTCCCTCGGATGATGAAGAAGAAGAAGATGAAGAGTTCGATTCCCAAGAAGAGTCCGGTTCCGATTCGGAACCATCACCAGAAAAACCCCGCCAGACCGCTCGAGGTGCCGATCCAAGTATAAAGCCTATCACCTCCAAGCCTATGGACGACATACCCAAGCCCAAGAAGCCTCCGACGAAGCCAGGATCTTCTCCTATTCCGGCGTTGAACAGCCCCACAAGATCTACCACCACAGTAAAACGCCCCGTGGAGACTGATAAAGAAGGAAACAGGGACCCCAAGAGTAAAAAGAAGAAGGTTTCAGATGCCGATGAGAACGGGTCGCTTCAAGGAGAAGAAACTGAGAAGAAGCCTGGGGACGATGCCAAGAAGCAATTGTTTCAGAGGTTGTGGAGCGAAGACGACGAAATCATAATTTTGAAGGGTATAATGGATTACTCAAAGAAAGGCACTGACCCATGGACTGACATGGCCGGGTTTCATGAGTTCATCAAGAAATCGCTCCACGTTGATGTAAATAAGAACCAATTAGCTGATAAAATCCGTCGATTAAGGAAGAAGTACAAGACCAATGTGGGCAGAGGGAAAGGAGGCCAGGACCCTCTTTTTTCTAAGTCACACGAATCGAAGGCATTCGAATTGTCCAAGAAGATATGGGGCTTCGAAGATAATGCTGGTGGCAATAATCAAGCTACTGATGATGGGAAGAAGGGTAAGAAACAGAAAGCTGAAAATGCTGTCGGTTCGGCTCAAGTAAAAGTTCCTTCTTCGGGAGAGGCCCCAAATGCTGCAGCGAAGGCCGATGAAGAGCTAAATTGTTCTATGTACCCATGTCTAATGGAATCGTTCCGACTTGGGAAAATCACGGAATTGGCAAGGCCTGATTTTGGAGAGGGTATTGTGAAAGAAGGTTTGGGTTTGATGGGGAGCTCGAAGGTGAAGGAATTGGAGGAGAGGTGGAGGAAATTGCATATGGCAGAGATTGAGATGCACCTGAAGCGGGTTGATTTATTCAGGGACCAGTTGAAGATGCTGTTTGATGCGCTTGGATCCAAAAAGTGAGGTAATTAGTAGTTGTTGGGTTGTTTTCGGCCAAAGTTAAAAAAAAAAGACAATGTTACTTCTTTTTCTTTTCTTTTGCAACAGAGGAGGGAATTTTCTAAGAGTTTTGGTGTATTTCGGATTTAACTAGAATTTATCGTCTATCAAACTATGCGTTTGTTACATTTGTGAGATCAGTTACAATCTAGAGCCTCCTATTTTGGTTATTGGTGTCATATTAATTATTTAGGAAATGGCGCTTTTATCTCAAAATTGTGGTTGAAGCCAACAGAACAGAAACCATAGAATCAGCACCAACACGAGCAACAAAGACTCAGACTGAAGATACCAGACAAACACAACTAAAGAAGAGGAAAATACTATAGAATAAAAAATAGTAGCATATCTAGTTCTCAACACATTGATTCATTATTACACAATGTCTTAAATCCAAATAGGAGCCACAAGAAATAAATTCCTGCTTAACTATAAAGCCATGCTGTACAATGAAGTGTGTAGCCTTGTTGCAATTATGAGGCACAAAACTGAAAACCACCTGGATATATTCTTTTTGGACAAATTGTTGACCAGTTCTAAGCTACAGATTCTAGAATAATGACATTATGTCAGCCAATTCCTTTGACAGGGTTCAAAGTTCAATACACCATCTTGTGGCACACTTTCAACCATGCGCCCACCTGTTTTTAGTGTTTTTTTTCAAAAGCAAGTCAGGGGGTAGGTTTTAGGCCTGTCTACCCCCTGAAATAGGTCAACAGCCCAAAACACCCATATTTTGTGTATCGGTGACCCACCGATACGGTACATATCGACCAATCCAGGCTGTTATGTGATGAAATTTTGAACTTTGGACAGGGTTAGACCTTCAAAAAGAGATATTGCATCTGCTTCCACTGGGGAGAATGCTTTGCACATCCCTCATTTTGCTGCTACAAAAACCTTGGCTCTCTTTGATTAACATTCCAAAAGCAGCCACATCGTTTTCTTTAAGACCACCTTCTGAGTTTACTTAGAATCGTCCTGCTTGAGGCAGCATCCAAAAGGAATTGGATGGACTCTGGTTACCACTCAAAGAATAGTTTTGCAAGTTTCTCTCCATAGTTGATTTGCTCTCCTGATCCAACCTGAATATGTTCAAGAAGCATCATAGGATTTGGATCAACATTATTAAAAACTTTATATTTTCTAGCTTTTCAGTATGCAGCCAACAGTCTTTTTTTTATCAGACTTTATTTCGTGTACCCCCCCCCCCTTCAACTAGTGCTATGTATTTTCATTCTTCTTAATATAAAAGATTTTTATTAAAATGAGATCCTCGTTCATCTTCCTCCTCCCCCCCTACTCCCCCTACTCTTAAGGAGGCTTACACCTCTTACATACTGAACTATGCCTCACGCCTCTATGTAGTGGAACGCCTCGCGTCACGTCTCCACGTTTTAAAACATTTTACAAACTTAATAAAGATAATCCGAAATGAGCAGCATTATGGTAGGTAGATAATAGTAACAACATGTCCAATAAATCAAGAATTCATCATCATCTCATTGGCAGGACACCAATCAGATGGTCTCTTGATTGTGTCAAATTATATAAACCATTAGATGTTGGTTTGCTCATTTGTCTTTCTTTAGTGGCTCATTAAATTAAATGCCTCTCTTGGCCATCAATGCAATTTACATACCAATGTTTTAAAAGTGCAAGGTGCAAAGATCAATTTGCACCTGAGGCGCAAGGTGAGGCGTGCGCCTTTATAAGCAAGGTGCAAAAAAAAGGCTAAAAAATAAAAAAAATGCCAAAAGAATAAAAAAAATTAATATTAATAAAAATATAAACTTTAATTTTAAAATAAATGTTTTAGAAAACCTATTATCTAATATTAAAATACATAAATATAACATGTAAAGCATATTCAAATGAGAACTTAGTTTCTTTTCTGAAGTTATTGATGGAGCGCAGATTCTCTTATAATAGAGCAGGTGGGGGGAAGCGAAGATGGGAAGCTTCTACCTGGTATCGTAGATTGGAGAACGAAGGGAGGGTAAGATGCAATCTTTCTTACAGAGAAGTGGTGGCGGCGGGGGTTTGGCTTACTTTTGGGGAGTTAGAGGTGAAATGGGTTAATGGTAATAGGGTGGTAGCAACGGATCCTCAGGGGGTGACTACGAGAAGAGAGTTTTTGAGGAACTGTTTGGTGGGTAGGTTCCAATGGGGGGTGGAGATTAAGGAGGTAGAGAGGTGGGCAAACGACGTTTGGAGAGAGGTGGGGGGTGTGAGAGTGAAGAAAATGGCAGATGGTCTATTCCTCTTTATTTGTCTGTCAAGAGCTGGTGCGGATTGGGTTTTAAGACAAGGTCCGTGGCAGATGGGAAGAAACCCCCTTTTGTTGGACTGGTGGGGGGCGAGTGCGGGATGCCATTACCTTGATCCCTTCGAAGTAGGAGAGGACTTGGAGTCATGCTGTGTTAGGGTTTACAACCTGCCACTCCTGCTATGGTGCCCAAGTGTCATAAGGGCTATTGGGGATGCTTGTGGGGGTTTTATAGAGACAGACGATTACCCGCTGGAGATTGCGACCTGCGAGTGGGTAAGAATGAAAATCTGCAGGGGAAACCAAATTCCAAGCAAGGTTGAAGTGGTAGCAGGGGAAGTGGTCTTCACGGTTCAGATCTGGCAAGAAGTTCTGCCGTCTGTCCGAAGTTGGAGAGGTGGAGAAGGGCTGTCTTGCGATGTCCTTAAAGAAGACAAAGAGAGTTCAAACTGCTCCAAAACGTTAATCTTGGAAGATTTTGGCGAAAGTGAGCTTCCCGGTTTTTCAGTAGCAAAGAGGTATCAGAAGACGAAGACGCGGGTTGCTTCTCCGATGACCGTAGATAGAGAAGAAGATGCAGGTTTGAGGGTTCTTTTGAGCCGTCCGATGTTGGTGATTTCGAATGGTACAGATGGGTTTGCCTAGGATCTAGCTGTGAAGGAGATTCAAAATTCAAATATGAGGGGTAGCGGGCAGGTTTGGGGTATTGAGGCCATTAAAGCCTTAATTAGAGAATGCCTTGCAGAGCTCCAACTGGCCCCTAGGGAAGTTAGTGCGCCAGAGAATTGTCAGAAGGGTTGTCAGCCTCCCCTACCCGAGTCTCAGTGGGCCCATGGGACTTTGGATGAAGTTAATGGGTCTGGAATGCTTTATTCAGCCCAACCAACTCTTCAACCTTTTATTCTGGAAGCTGGGCCTGGACTCAATGGTTCTATTGAGTCTAGTCCATCCTTTGTTCGAAGGGCGGACCTAACGCCAGATTTCAGTCCTCAGGTTGGCGGTGATCTTTAGGGTGTGGGTTTTGGGGAGGCTCGGGATTCTCAGGAGCGAAGGGGGACTACTGCTGGTAGGGAGAAGAAAGGCGGAGAGGGAGTTTCAAATCCCGGCGCTAGGGTTGTGAAATCTTGTCCTTCCCAAGCGTCTGCTTTGGTAGGCGAGACTCGGCTAAAGTCTAACCAACTAGCGGTGCTGAGAGAGGAAGAGGAGTTGATGGAGGTGGATCCGATAGTGATGGTGGTTGCAGATTCTCAAATTGCAGGTGGTGAAGGTATTCTTGAGGGTGTTGGGCCACAGGTGGGAGGTAGCAAACTCTGTGTTACGGATAGGTTTGCTGTCACGGTTGGGCAGTCTCAGAAGAATAACAATCTATTAGTGGATCAGTCAAACCAGGTAGGGGAGCAGTTTGAAAGTGTTTTTGATTCGTCATGGGTTTCTTCTAAGTTGATGGGATTGGGAAAGTTTTTGGGGATCTCGCTAGAAGGCTTGGAAGAGGAAACAATTAAGTACTTGGAGGCGGTAGAGAAAAGAATGAGTATGGCCAGGGGGAAAGCTGTAGTAAAGAAGGGGGGCAACAAATCTAAAAGTAGAGGATTGCTATGCTTGACTTGGAACCTTAATGATAAAGTTGGTAGGAGTGAGGGGAGGGGGTGGGGGAGAAAGGCTTAAGTGCCAAGTGTTCTGTTGTTCCTAGTTTGTTATGGAGCTTAAGATCTTATCTTGGAATGTTAGGGAGCTGGGGTCGGGGAGAAGGAGGCTGGTAGTTTGTGACTCTTTGAAAAATTCAGGTTCAAAAGTGGTATTGATTCAAGAAACTAAATTGGAATCTGTGGAGGTTGGAGTGGTTAGGAGTATCTGGGGGGAGGGGGAGGTTAGGTGGAGGTCGAAGTTGGCAGTTGGTAGTGCAGGGGGGTTACTGAGTATGTGGGACCCGACTGTTTGCAGCTTGATCTCTCTTCAGATTGGACTTTTTTCAATTTCTCTTGTCTTTAAACTTGCAAATGGCAATGTGTGTTAGGTTACTAATGTGTATGGTCCTAATGACCGAAGTCGGAGGGAGGAGTTTTGGGAGGAGTTGGCAGTGGCTAGGGGAAGTCTGGATTGCCTGTGGGTTATTGGTGGGGACTTTAATGTCACTCTTTCTGGGGAGGAGAGAAGCTCGGGGGGAAGAAGATCTAGGGATATGGTGCAATTTGCTGATTTTATCAACAAATTTGAGCTTCAAGATTTACCCCTTCATGGCAATAGGTATACTTGGACCAACAATCAAGACCTTCCTACCCTAGTGAGGCTGGATAGGTTTCTGGTTACTTCTAACTGGGAGGATGTTTTTCCGGAGTTTAAGCAGATTGCCCTTCCAAGGCCAGTGTCAGACCATATTCCCATTCAACTGGTTTGTGGTGTTAGAGAGAGAACAAAATTCCGTTCAAATTAGAGAATGCTTGGTTTAAGGATGACTCTCTAGTTTTGTTTGTTGAAGTCTATTTGGGAGGATATGCAGGTGGGAGGTGAGAAGAAGGCTCTACTGAGTACCATAAAGGAGATTGACACAGCTGAAGAATTAGGTCCTATTGTTGAGGAGCTCAGATTAAAAAGATTTCAGGCTAAGTTGAAGTTTGACAAATTGGCAGTGGCAGAAGAAATTAAATGGAGACAAAGAGCCAAAGTGGCGTGGCTGAAAGAGGGGGATAGGAATACACATTATTTTCACAAAATGGCAAATACCAAAGCTAGAGCTTCTGTAATTACTAGGCTGGAGGGAGAGGGCAGGGTAGGTATCATTGAGTCTAATATGAAGCTAGTGGCAACTAGCTTTTACAAGAAGTTGTATAAGGAATCTTAGGCATTCAGACCTTTTCCAAGATCCCTTTCTTTTAACCAGCTGAGTGATGAGCAGTCTTCTTTCATTGAGAGACCTTTTTTCTGAGGAGGAAATTAAAGAAGCTATTAAGTTGTTGGCTGATGAAAAGTCTCCAGGGCCCGATGGTCTTACAAATCTCTTTTACATTAAATGCTGGGATGTGGTGAGACAGGATATATTGAATGTTTTCCAGGACTTTTTTGAGAGGGGTTCATTGCAGAGAAGTCTGAACACTACCTCTATAACCCTCATTCCAAAGATTGAAGGTGCTGTGAATATTAAGGATTTTAGGCCAATTAGTCTGTTGCATAGCTTCTATAAAATCCTATCTAAAGTCCTTAAACAAAGATTGGAAGCAATTCTTGGTAGGGTTATCTCAAATAACCAAAGTGCTTTTATTCCGGGTAGACAGATGCTAGATTCAGTTCTTATTGCCAATGAGCTCATTCATTCCTGGAAAAAAGAAGATTCTTCGGGTTTGATTTGTAAACTTGATATTGAGAAGGCCTTCGATCATGTTAACTGGAGATGTGTAGACCTTGTGCTTCTTCAGATGAATTTTGGGCAGAAATGGAGGAATTGGATGAAAGCATGTATCATTTCCCCAAAGTTCTCAGTCTTGGTAAACGAACAATCTGTAGGTTTCTTTGATAGTTCCAGGGGTCTATCTCCTCTGTTATTTCTATGTATAATGGAGATCCTCACTCTTTTCTGCAAGAAGGCTACTGATTCAGGGGATTGGGAAGTTTTTGCAATGGTGCCGGGGGGAGAGAAGGTGAACATTCTTCAATTTGCAGATGATACAGTATGTTTTGCGGATGCTTCCCCCTCTTAGGTGGAGCTAATTCTTGGGATTCTCTCTTGGTTTGAAGTGATTACAGGCTTGAAAGTTAATTGGAATAAGAGCCAAATTATCCCAGTTGGACTTGTTTCCAATTTAGCTGAGTGTGCTGGTATTCTGGCTTGTCAGATTGAATTTCTCCCGGTCAAATATTTAGGACTCCCGCTTGGGGTGAGTGGTGATTTTTCTGCTATTTGGGACCCAGTTTTTGAGAGATTGGAAAGGAAGCTGGCTTCTTGGAAGGCTAAATACCTTTCTTTTGGGGGGAGGGTGACTATGATTAAGAGTACTCTCTCCAATTTGCCTACCTACTTCCTATCTCTTTTCTCTATTCCTAAGAAGGTGGCAAATCAGATTGAAAAGCTTCAACGGAATTTCCTTTGGAGAGGCTGGGAAGAGGAGAAAAAAGTGCACTTGGTGAGTTGGGAACAATTCTGTCTTCCCAAATCTGAAGGGGGGTTAGGTATAAGGAAACTGAAATATTTTAACTCTGCTCTCCTATGTAAATGGATTTGGAAATTTGCTGTAGAATCTGATGCTTGGTGGAGATCTCTCATAGCTAGCAAATATGGTGTGAGCTGGGGAAATTGGAGATCTAGGGACCCCCCTCCTAACTGGGGTAACTCTCTGTGGAAGGGGATAGTGAAGCATTTTCCAGAGTTGGCCAGGGTGATCTCAGTCAGGGCTGGTAATGGTAATAGGATCAAATTCTTGAAGGACCCTTGGTGCTCAGATGTTCCTCTTGCTGAATCCTTCCCTCTCATCTTCCAGTGTGCTTCAGACCAAGAGGCCTCAGTTGCTGAGTGCTATAGTATTTCTGGTGATTCTGTTCTTTGAACTCTCTCTTTCTGTAGAAATCTCTTTGATTGGGAGGTGGACGAGGCAGTGAATCTTTTGACCTGTCTACAGCATCAAGAGATGGACTTTAGTACAGAGGATAAATGGCATTGGAAGTGGAATCCTGATGGGATATTCTCTGTTAAATCTTTGGCGGCTAGGATTGGTAGGAAGGGTGTTCCTGATTTCCCAGTTCAGCAAGTGTGGAATCCTATCAGTCCGACTAAAGCCAGTTTCCTTGTTTGGACTATGGCTCTTAACAAATGCCTTTCCAAGGAGAACCTCGTAAGCAGGGGAATTCAGATTTTGGACCAGTCTTGCAGCTTATGTGGGTGCAGTGCTGAATCTACTGATCATCTGTGTTTACACTGCCCGTTCTTGGCTCAGTTGTGGAACCACCTCCTCAAGTTCTTGAAGGTTTGTTGGGTGATGCCGAGGTCAGTAAAAAAGCTGTTATGCTGCTGGCATATTGTGGGCTGGAGCAAGAAAAAGAAGACTTTATGGAAAATGATTCCAAGTGCTGTAATGTGGTGTATCTGGACTGAGAGGAATAGAAGGGTGTTCAGCAACAAGTTTCTAAGTCTGGAGGACCTAACCCAGAAGTTAGTTGGCAAGTTGATTTCTTGGTTGTCCGTGGCGGCAGATTTTAGAAACTGAATGTATCAGATGTATTTTTTTCCTTGTCTTGATGGCTTGTGTAATCGCTGTTTAGATCAGTCAGCCTGTTCCTCCAGTGTGTATTTCATTCTCAATAAATATTACTTTACCTTTTCCAAAAAAAAAAAAAAGAGAATTTAAAAATAAAATCAAATATATAAAACATTTTCAAGCATATAAAACCCACAATCTCTTTTTTTCTCAATTGCATTACTTCAAGTATCTAATGTGATGTAAAACATATTACATTCCTGACTCTACGAGTTGCCTTTGTACCACGCCCCTCGAAGCAAGCTCAAACAAGTCCACGTTAGGTTTAAATTCTTACTTCTCACACAAAAAATAATGATTTTATAGTTTTTATTACTTTTTAAGAAGACATTTTATTAGCATGAATGAATGAACAACATTACCAATTAGGGGGTCCTCGGAAGGCACATGCCTGGGCTAAGGCGCAAGGCGCACCAGGCGCTAGACACAAAAAAAGCGTCAAAGTTTCAAAAGGTGCATGCCTGGGTTGAGGCACAAGGCACACCAGGCGTGCGCTTTTTGAAAGGGCTGCTCCTAGGACCTGGGCGAGGCGCCTACTCTGAAATGTACCTCGCCTGCGCTTGAGGTGCACCTTTTAAATCACTGTTACATACCATGACCTATTGCAAGAGATACTTTACCAAATGAAATATATGGCATATGGATTTGATGAGAATAATGGGCTTGTTTACACATGGAATTTGACAATACGTGTATCCTTTTAATATATTTTGTGTTCCTATAGAACTCATCAATCACTTGAAAACTTTAGATGTTTGAAGTAACAATTATGTTTACTTTGGGTATATTTTTGTATTTGTCCTTTTTTCTTGTTTGTATTTTGGGTGGGGGTTGTGGAGGAATTTGAATTTGCAAAATTGAAGAAGAGGTCTGGAGTTAGATATTAATATTTGATGGAGTTAATGAATTAATTATGGTTCTTGTAATGGAAAGACATGGTGTATATTTTTCTCTTTTGTAGTTCTTAAATTATTTTAACATATACTTAGATTGAAGTTAAGTTTGGTAGTGAAAAGCAACGACATTTCACCTTTAAAAGGGATTAGTCAAAAGGAAATTTTTATTTTTTGATACATTTTAAATTCTTTTAATAGTTTAAGATTTTAGCAGTAGAAGGATAAAAATGGCTATGAGATGTTGAAAGCCAGTGCTTTTGGTTTCTAAATTTTAACTTCAGTTTGAATTTATTGCTCTTGTTTTCTTTTCCTACATATCAATTGCTATTATTAGAAAAACTTCTGTCAGAATATATGATTCCAAACTAGAAGCAACTTTTACTAATCTCACTATCATAAAGCCAAAGATTTGACACCAGACTTGTGGCAGGTAAGAAATGTTGTAGAAAAAGTCTGGTTATTCATAATAATATTTGAAGTTGCTGCTATTTTTTGCTTTTTTTTTAATTGTTTGTACATAAAGAGATAGGAATACTAAAGGAGATGATGGGGGTACTACGTCCCAAGCATCTCCGATGGGGAAAAATTAAAATTTGGCCGGATTGTTGATCTGACAGTAGGCCTCTGTTGGAGTTATTCCTAACACTATTTGCAATGGTTGAAGACAAAGAGGCAGTGGTATCTCAATATAATGTAGAGGGAGGGAGTTAGATTATGTGATTCCAAAATTTTGTAGGACTTTTTATGATTGAGAATTTGATGGAGCTGCTGATATTCTCAATAAACTGCAGGGTCAAAGCCCAAATAGGTAGGACTGAGGGCAGAAGGTGGGGTTGGGAATGAAATGATGACTTCTCAGTTTGATTACCGGGGTGATTACTTTACCTTGTCAGAAGCTTTGGAACGCCCCAATTCCCTCCAAAGTGTCCTTTATGACCTGGTTATTTTTTAATATCCTGTATTGTAATCTGGTCTTCCATCCTTAAATAGATTACTTTACCTTTTTCAGCATTTTTTTAGTTTCTTTTTTGTGATGGATAACAAAAAAGATTCTCTCACTCTATATATTTTACTCAGTCTCCAAGGTAATATGCTTTATATAAAGGTATAATCCCTTACAGTAAGGGCATCCTGAAAACCACATGGAAAAGATGGTCTATCCAAGTCATAAAATTCCTTAAGTCCCAAATGTATTAAGAATATGGGGATAAAGAACAGAGGGAGGTGTAGAAGATTCCTAACGCGGTCAGATGCTTCAAGGACAGAAAAACAAAGAAGGTATCCAAGTGTTGAAAGTCTTGTTCATCTGGGAGGGGGGGGGGGGTTATTTGGGATAAGTATAAGAAGGTGAAGAAGGTTGAGAAGGCTCATTAGAAAAGATTAGTGAAGGATTAATCCAGCTGCCAAAGTAATGGAGTCAGTGGATATCTGATTGGTACTAGGACTCTATAAGCGGTGAAGGAAAGCATACAAATCAAAGCTGTGCATGGAATCAAAACAACAAAGCTTTTGACAGTGTAGTCTCCATGTGATGGGTTCCTCCAATGGAGAGTGGAGTCAAAATAAACTTTGATGGATGCAGCATGGGCAACCCCAGAGCATCCAGCAATAGGTGCTTTTATAGACCACAATGGGAATATCTTGGCATTTATTCTCTGGGCCCATAGGGGAAGGAAACTCAATCAAGGTTGAGTTGATAGCGGCACTGCAAGGTCTAAGAGTGACAATGATGTTAAGTTCAAGGAATATTTGAATCTTTTGTAGGAGCTGTGAAACTTGACAACTGAAATGAATGCAAATTTTACTTGGACTTAAAGATCAGCAAATGTGCTAGCTGATGTAACGACTGGCAAGGAGTATATACAGGGCACAAATATTCTGGGGTAATGTTGTAAACAACCATTTGTAGGGGAGGAAATGCTTCTGTAGAGTGCTTTGCACTTTCCTTGGGGATGCTTGGCATGCTGTATGGATTATTTCTTCTTACATGATTAATAGATAATATAATTCTTACAGATACCAATCAGTAAAAAAAGAGATCTGATTGGTACTAGAAGGGAGCACAATTTATGACATTAGGAGGTTCTTATTTGTACAAGTTGGATTGAGGTTGCTGATTCTGGGATGAGTATGTAGTTTTTCTGAAAGTTAAAGTTTGGAGCTGAAGATTGGGGGTGATGAGGTTGTTGCTATGTTTGAGATAAAAGGAGTTTCTATTATTTTGGCATGGAGTGTTCTTGTTTTCAGGAGTGAAAATATTTAGTTCTGATTGGTGGTTGGGTTAATATTATTGTGCATGTTTCTTTCTCTTTCAGGTATTGCAAGAACACCAGGATGAAGTCTGATCTTTTGCTGTTTTCACACAATGGGAAGGAGGGCAGATTTGGTCCTCACAAATCGTGCTCACACCGTTCTCACAGCCCTTTCCAGCCATGCATTGGGAACATCTCCATACTTGTATCTTTTTATTCATGGGGAGAATTTCCCAATGCATGGCTGAAAAGGGTTGTGAGAATGGTGTGAGCACAATTTTGTGAGTACCAAATTCGATTTCAATGGGAAGTACTTAGCCTCATCAATAATGATTGCTCAGCAATCATATGGGATGTCAACAAGGATTGTGGACTGTCCTTGAAACACAAATTAGAGGGCCACCAAAACCCTGTTCTGACTGTCTTGAAGCCCCAATGACCACCAACTCCAAAGTCCTCACCTGTGGAATGGAAGAGGTTATCAGAGGTTGGGATGTAAGCTCTTGTCAATGCCTCCGTATTTATAGAGAAAGCTGGTGAAGGTTTGATGTATTGTGGATGGTCTCCCGTCTCCGGATGGGAAGTGGTTATTCTCTGGTATGACCGACAAGAGCATTTGTATGGGAAACAGTTGGGATACTGGATGGGACAGCGGACACTGAAGATTTCAGACATGGCAATTACAAATGATGGAAAGTTGATTATAACCATGTGTCGAGAAACTGTTATATTGCTACTTGACAGGGAGGCAAAAGTTGAGCGATTGATTGAAGAGGGTCAGCCCATAGCTACGTTCTCATTATCAAGGGACGGTAGGTTCTTTGCTGGTTAATCTTCTAAATCAGGAAATTCATCTTTGGAACATTGAAGGTGATCTGAAATTCATTGCCAGGTACATAGTCCATAAGAGCACCAGATGTGTTATTAGGCCTTGCTTTGGTGGATTTAACCAAGCTTTTAGTGGGAGTGAAGATTCACAGGTTTATATATGGCATAGGGGGGACTTCAGAACGAGCTCACATCTGCATCCTAGGTGCAGAAAATTTTCTGCAACCAAGAATGGCAAAGTGCCACGTCTCTCCCTTTATTAATTACAAGTTAATGGAGTCCAGACTGTTAACGGGAGTCTAGAGCTCCAAGAAATTTTAAATTTTTAACCCCACTTTTATTCCCTCCTATGCTGTTGAAGGAGAACGAAGAGGAAAAGAGAGAGAAGCAGATTAGGAAGGTGCATGCAATTGAAACAGAACCGACTGTTAGTCATGTTACGAGGGTGCATGCAATTGATATTTGATTCGTCCTATCCGAGAATTTGAAATAGTCAAAAGAAGCTGTTCATCAAGTGAATTGGTTAGTGGTCTATCTGTTTCAAGATTCCTCAGTTCTGCATTAAATTCCATCCTCGAGTCAAATCCAATCTAAAATCCAGAGATCAGAAGCAATTTTTGCCCTGTTTATCGTGAATATCACAACCCTAATAAATTTGTTGATCGGATCGGATCCATCATCCATGGGAAGTTTTGATAAACGGAGTAAGAACTTGCTATATTTAAGCAAAAGACGCAAGATTTGATTTTCTACTCTCTTAAGGCTGCGTTTGGTAGTCTGGTTGATAAGGATTTGCTTCCTTTTTAGTGGTTAAAAAAGGAGATGAGTTCCATTTTGAGTGTTTGGTGATCCGAGGTCACAACCAAATTCTTGGATCGAAAAAAAAAATAGTTACAAGAAGCTCTGAGATCCTTTTTCCTTTTATTCATATCCGTGTTGTAAAAAAATTTCTACTACTATTATGTCTGATTAA